TGTTAGATGGCATGATGCTAAGAACATTTTGTATTTTATTTTGATATCAAGACTTCCTCATCTCCATAAGAAAAGGACAGCTATAAACCACTTAACTGAAAATTCAGTGTAAAATTTTAAAATTCATTCATTTTTTTCTGTCTTTTGGTATATTTCTGCCAATCTTTTTGGGCAAGACTCTTAGAGTCCAATCGCCTTCCCATTTTTTCTAGCATCACGGAAAGTTCACAGAGTGAAGTAAAGTATTCAACATCCCAGCAGGCACAGAAGAAGAGAGAGAGGGTAAAGATGTGACTTCTTCCAATAAAGGCTCCCAATGGAATAGGAGAGATAAATGCATCTATAAATAACAGATTAAGGCAAACAGCACAACAAACTTCTATTATCAAGGCATGAATATTTATGAACAATGAGATAGCAGGTTGTGTGGTGACTTAGGACTCCACCAAACTATTCTAAGTGGGATTTGAGTTGGTACATGAAAGCCAACTTATGTTAACACCTCAGAATTACTATTGTCTTACAGTTTTTCATTTAACCCTCGCAGAGAAAAGTCTCAGATAAGCCCACACTAAAACAAAATTCATTTCACAGGAAGAATATTGCAACAAAATCTGTGTATCGGCAGTTATGGTGAGGAGGAGCTCACTTTGCCAGACAAAATCCATGTGTCACACTAATACAAACAAGATGCACGCATAATTAGAAACAGAATTTCAGGAAAAAATTTACGAAATGTTCAGCTTATACAGGACAATGTAAACTGGTTTTAAAAATAAGAAATATGACCTCAAACCATAAGAAGAAACAAAATAACAGGAAGATCAGGACAATTAGGACATTTTATTCTATTTTGCCATAATCCACAAATCACATTCTTCACACACACACAAAAATGATACTCTGCTGTTTATTCTAAAGCACGAATATTAGGTTTGTGATCTGAACTTTAACAATTCAGAAAGAAGATCTCCATTTAAAAACACTTGGTCTACCGGTAACTTCAGGTATAGAAAGCTGGTACTTTACCTTAGATGTGAAAGCTGTGTGGTTTGCTGGATCTTCCCAAGCACTTTTCTAATCTTACAGAAATAAAGGAAGATAAGACTTGATGATTATGCTTTACACCTTCCTGTCAGGGGCAAATTAAGAGATCAGAGAACTCCACTGAAACTATCACAAGAGGAAAAAAGAATAGAATTCCTTTCTTTCCAACCCAAGTTAAATCAGAGATTTGTCTTTGCGACATCTTTAAGTATAGTCTTACTAGGACTTATTCAAGCAGAAAGTCTGGCATGCGCATTAAGAGAATTAGGGATAAGTCTCCGCTTGGGGTTTGAAAGATTAGGCAATTTCTATTCTTTACTAGCCATTGTTTTCCTTGTCTACTGCTGGAGGTCAAAAATGTCTATATTATAGAATTCTAATAATTGAATGAGATCACAAATAAAAAGCAAGTATCCAGTGCTTGACAGTATGAAGCTGGTTTCATATTATTCTCTCTATGAATTTTAAGAGTCTAGAAAACATTTTTAATTAACTTGACATCCTTCACTTAATTAAATTAGGATATCTAAGTATATTCCTATATTTGCCTTTATGATTAATTCTCTTTTATATTTCTACTTTTGTATTTATTTATTTATTGTGTTCAAGACAGGCCTTCCTCTGTGGTTCAGGCTGTTGTTAAACTGAGTATGAATCCCAGACTGGCCTGGAACTTGCAATGATCCTCCTGCCTCAGCCCCCTAAGAGCTAGGATTACAGGCTCAGTTTATATTTCTATTTGTAAAGGCTGAATTATCTGAGGAATGCTGCATCTGATGTCTCTTAGGGTAAATAAATAATGTCATAACATAAAATGATCTTCTGATTCATAAGAGACTTTTCCCCCTATTGCCCTGGGAATTTTGTGTTAAAGTCACTCTGTATACACATTATTACACTCTCAATCCACACATTTCTTCATCTTTTTTTTTTTTTTTTTTTTTTTTTTTTTTTTTTTTTAGTGCCAGGGATCAAACTCAAGACCTTGTATTTGCCAAGCAGGCAGTTATGCTGCTGAGCTAAACTCCTGGCTCACACATTTCTTTATTCAAGTAATTTACAATCCTTTACACATCAAAAATAAAAACTGACTGCTTCACCAGATAAAGTTTACCATACTGACACAAACAGACCTTCACTTAATCTCATGACAATCTGTGATAGTAGGTGACAAGGGCCATTCGTATTCCTCTTTATGAACCACACATCTGTAAATATAGCCAGCATCTGAATCTATGTCTTCTAAGTGCAGAGGGAAAGGAGCTATTTTTCGGCTTCTCACTGTCTTTCAGTTAATAAATTTCTCCTCTGTCTTCCTAGTTACTTCCCTTTCACAGCAATCCCACTGCATGCAGTTATTAATCTTTAGCATGTTGCTGTCCCAGTCTTCAAAAAAAATAATTCAGTGGAGCATGAAAAATTACTTCAATCATCGTGTCTAACCCTTTGCTCTTATAGGAAGACACTGCCTACGTTGTTTCCTATTTAGTGAAAAAGTCACAGTCAGGATTGGGGCTTTCCAGGATGCCCCTCACTAGATTCTCTTTGGAGCATTAAAATTTCTGATAGTCAGTGTCCCTTGTTAGCAGCCAAGAATGACAAAATTAACAATTACTCTTAAGCTGGGTTTTGCCACTGTCAAAGCAATACCACTGCACCTGGATAAACACGAGACTTCTGGCCAGAACTCAGAAGGGCTGATCTACTCTCAGCCTGCTGGTATGACGCCTGAGGCCTGGCTTCCATACTCCCTGCCAGGCCAATCTGTAAATATAAGTTATTAACAGGAGCCCAGGTCAGTTCCACTGAAACAGTCCCTGTTGAGATAGGCTGGAATTTCACAGCATTTTGAACAAGATTTCATAAACTATTGAAGATCAACATTCTCATATGTAGAACAGGATTAAGTATTCCTCCCTGTGTGCTTCTCAGAACTGAGATAGGAAACCTGAGCAGTGAGTGTTCTTTAAGAATGCAAAAAGACTGAAAATACTGTTCTAAAGCTCCTTTCTCTGGGAAGAATTACTGTTCTAGTGAGGACCAACCCAGAGGACTGTATCATCACTTGCTGACAAATCAAATGAGCCTACCTTCTATTACTTTTGTCATGAAAGGAGAGAAGCAATTATTAGAAACACATACAGAATAGCACAATCTGTTGCATATTGCATTTTGAAAAATACATATTATTTCCTTTGTTGTTATTGCTTTGTTTTCTATAGTCTGTTCATTTGATTGTTTTGTGACTCTACGGATTGAATCATGGGCCTTTGCACTGAGCTACATCCCCAGGCCTTTTTAAAATTTTGAGACAGGGTCTCAATATGTCACTAAGTTGCTGGGCTTGTTATCTTCCTGTCTCAGCCTACCCTAGTGCTAGATTGCACATGCATGATACCTTCCTGGCTTCCTAGAGATTTTTTTTTTTTCCTTATCATTCTTGGGTTACCTCTATGATCTAATAACGATGGAAGTTTCCTACCACACACTTAGACTAAATACATGGAAGTCACAGAAGCTATGGTCTGTGGCAGGATCCTTTATCTTTTCTCATCGTGAGTCCTGTCTAAAACACGGCCCTGAGAAGTACCATCCTGACATCCCTTAGGTCATTTTCAATTAAAACAGACATGGGGCCTTGCTGGGAGAGAGATTTGCTTTTGGATCCCAGTGCCAACCTCATCACTATCTGAAACCACTGTTGCTGAAACAGAAGTCTATGGGAGCCTTGTGTGTTTTAGTGATGAAGAGAAATGAGCCAGAAGCTAAAGGCTGTGGTCCAGCCTTACCAAGGGCAGCCGCCCCCAGTGAGGCCTGTGCAGAGCAGTTTCTCTCTGGACCTTCATTCCCTTACTATAAAAGAAGGAATTTAAATTAACTTGGTTCCTTGAAAATCTGCTTGATTTAAAGACTGAAAACAATGTCAGTAGGAAAGTGTTCTTTGTTATGTTCACAGCTTCGTTTCGCGTTCTCTAAGTAATGCTTGCCACCGAGGTGGAGCTCAATAAAGATTTTATTAAGTAAATGAATGAATGATGCTTATTTGAAGACAATGCTTCATTCACAGACTCTGAAGCAGGGCTTAGACATAACAGGTGTTCAATAAGTTTTCGTTGCATGAAGAAAATGATTGATATTAAATAAACTAATGTATCAGACACTTTCCAATTCTAAGCTTGTTGATTTCATCCCAGCAAGAGAATATTTCTCAAAAAAAAATTAGTGCTACACATTTCCCTAGGAATAGAAGTGATCTGAAATTAATCACGCAATATAGTAAGTGGGATGAGGCCATCCATCCACCATGAGCACTGACCCACCCGTTCAGGGGATAATCTAAAACCAGAGCTTAAATGACGATGTTTTTAGCTCTGTGCATACATAGTAATGACTGCCTGCCTGCACAATTCAGATCAGAATTAAACCATTATGAGTCATCCATTATAATCAAGATCTGCAAGCAGAGACTCGAAATGCTCTCAAGACCATTCTGCTCACGTGCTGGTTCTCTCCACAGTTGTTTGAAACACGGCCCTGCCAAGATGTTTATTTTCTACCTGGCTTTATGAATTGCAATTACTTCCTAAATTATAGCAAGCCACAAGTGGTCTGAGCCAAGCAATGGAGGTCACAGAAGGTTTCTCCTTGTACTCCCGGAGATGACAGAGAGGCTTGTTTGAACCAAACTTGATCTTTCAAAAGAAAGGGAAAACTTGAAGCCTCTAACTCTTGGGAGTGGCAAAGAGAACAGCCAGAGGGCCGTGAGCTAACTTCTATTCTCCAGAGATCTTGAATAGATTTGGCAGTCCCTTGGCTTCTGTTGAAAACAAGGGCTGCTAATTATACTTCTGCCAATGGAAAACAACAGGCAGCGCCTAGGCTCGGGAGGTCACGATGACACGCCAATATCATGCTTGTGGAGTGTGGTTTGCTCCCAGATAAAGAACCACTGAAGTGTATGTCACATGCTTGGTGCTGGGACCCATTCATGAGAATGGAATCTAATAAAAATGCAAAGGGAATCTGGTGAAGTGATTTCCTTCTTCCCTTAAATTGTATCTTGGCTATAATATTTTCTGACACTAGAAATAAATTAATTTCATGTTTAGATCCTTCTTTCTACATCCCCTCCAACTGGAACAAAAGTGGTTTAGATTAACTAGGTATGACAGGTTCAGAGACCACAGGGTTTTCCATTCTGTAACTGCCGAAAGACAAAGGGCACAAAAAATACAGATGTTTTCGCCTTGCTGCTACAAAAGCGCAGTGGACTAACTCCCTGCCTGTGGAATGCAAATTTTCTTTCACAGTTTAGCAGTCTTTTTTGGATTTCAGCACAGTGAACTAACACTTTCCTGGATTCCAAGACCTCCAGAGAACCAGATGGATGAGAGAAATTGGGAAAAAGAACCCACACTGCTTGAAAAAGGTATGAATTTCTCACTCTACATTTAGCCAAAAAGCTCTGAAAATTAGAAGAGCAAAATCACTTTTGGTTTGTTCCAATGCATGCAGTCCCAGAGTTGTTTGTGGTGGGGAAAAAATACCCAAAGTGATTTGATTATTTGGAATCTGTGTGCAGTTTAAGTTAGGCAGCAAACTTTAAGACAGAGATGATATGTTTACTATCAAAGACAGGAAAGAAGGAAGAGAGTACTCAAGAGGGTAAGTGTAATCTAAGGCAAGTGACTGCTTCCCATTGCCAAAGTTTTAACATGACATTCAAGGTTCTTGAGGTACTGTCCTACCCTTTCCAGGCACCTATTTCCTCATCCTACCCCAACTCAGTCTTGATAGCTCTGTCAATCCAAACTTTTTCCACTTTGTGCTGTTTTTGCACAACTTTTCATGAGTATTGTCTCTATTGAATGTTTTTTTTTTCTCTTAACTAGTTCAATGTCTCGGCCTTAGAGCTCAGGATTTACGATTATTACCTCCTTTATTAATCATTTTCCAACTGTCTGTTCTTTAACAACACTGTTCAACCTCTTTTATGGTGCAGATCATATGACATTCACACACTACAACTTCATGAAGCCAGTGAAGTTTATTTGAAATGCTAAAGGGGATATTATTAACCAACAGTACTGACCAAACCATAGAGTAAGAGGGCACAACAGACTTCTTCCTCCATACAGAGGGCAATGAGGTTTTCAAATTATGTGAAGTATTATTCATTTATTTCTAGTAATAACATGAGACTATAATGGCAGAGGAATGTAGGTATATAATTCAGTTTCTTCCACAGTATGTTCATACATTCTTAACATCTCCAGGTATGAAAGGAGGACAGTTTTCCTTTGTATGGTCATCTATTAATTAAAGAAATTTCTTTCTTTAACTTTATAGTCAAAGGAATTATGAAGGAGCTAGAATTTCCCACAGAATCATTGAGAAAGATCAGAGTGAAGATTTTAAGTACTCTCTCTCCTGGTCAATCTGGTCCATGAATTCTCTCTATAACATCCTCCATCACTCAGGGCTTGTCCAGCTCCTGAGACTTCATTATGTGCAGGGACAAAAGAATGTCTTGCGAGGTATCCACAGTAGGAACAGGAAGCTTCAGTGTTAAGGCATTTGTTATAACAAGCCCTCTACAGACAAGCCTGCTGGTTTTTCGTTGTAACATCCCTGAAGAGTATTGACAATATTTCCCCATTCAGTGCTCTCTTCGTGCAGTTGGGAACCTGGGTTCCTTCCATCTTTCTTTGTGGGATATTTCTGTCATCACACCTTCTCAGCTCTCTTTTGCACAGGATCTAGGTGGTCTAGTTTCCTTTCAATATGTGAGACCCAGAAAAGAACAAGACACTAGTCATTACAGCTAGTGTAAGTCTTTCTTAGAGGTACAAAGACTGCATACACTTTTCAGGGTTCTGATATATTATTATTATTATTATTATCAATCTTGTGATCAGATTATTTAAAAATAAATATCAAATTAAATGAATCATGCACCACATTTTTGTAGAGTTACATGCTTAAAGTCATAAGAATGGGGTCTGAAATATCCTCAGATTTCCTGGTTTGATTTGGCTCATTGTTCCATACAGAATTCCCCAAATATAAACAATATTTGAAATAATATAATCCCTTCTGTCTTTTACTCAAATAAACTGTTCTGTCAGATAAACTTCCAGAGCTACAATTTTGTCACTGTTGAAAGATGTTTGACATCAGCCAGCAACAACTTTCTTTATCTTACATCCATCAAGCATCAAGCCCTAAGAATCCTGCCTGCTTAATATTTTAATTCTCCCCAATAATGTCTATTTTTACCAAATTATTTTTTTATCTCTCATTTAGATGATTGTAACCACATCTACCTGGTCCCTCAGCCTTTCTTTTTATTTCTTTTCCATATTGATCTACTTTCAATGCAAGAGCAGAGCAGACATCTTAACTATAAAAAAAAATCAGATTTAGTTTAAAAACTAATACTTCTATATATACTCAACCCATTATATCTGGGTTGAGGCTCAGGCATCTGTAACATCTAAAAAGTTCTCTGATACTATCACAGCCCCAGACATTTCAAGCTTGGCTGAGAGACTATGGATCTAGGCAAATCTGATACAAATATCTGAAACACAAATTTTTCAAGGAGTTAGTGTCATTTCTAATCATCTCTTGGGAACATTAGATTGTATTAGGGTTTATTGGAAACCCCAGGAAGAGAGGGACAATGAGCAGGGAACTGAAATTTGTAGCAGTAGATATTCATTCGGCCCTAAGCATTAGGCTAGGCTTTTTCATAGAATTATCCCATTCAATTTTTAAAACCATCTCAAAATGACAATACTGTTATTATGTTGAAGAAGAAACGGAAACAGATTTCCAATTCATATGCACTCAGAGTCATAAGTTGGTACAGACAAATTAAATGAAGGTCTGCCTGACTTCTATCTACAAGACCTAGGGAGAAATAAGAACAAAAATTTCATAAGAAAGAGGAAACACAGCATCCAGTATAAAAATATAAAATAATGGATTTGTACATATTCAAAGACTTCCTATAGACTTCTAATTACAGACCACATCTCTGAGGGTTAAAAATCGATGGTGTAATAGAAAGAACCTTCATCTGGGAGCCAGGAAATGGGTTACTACTGCTATTCTTAGCAATGGCAAAATTTGCTTGAGCATACCTAGATAATTGTAGCTATAAGACTCTGATGAGTGTAGAAGAGGCATCCTCACAAGACAGGAGCAGGACCTAAGTGTACTGGAATGCAGACCCAGCTAGCTGGCACTGCTCAGTGGAAGTCACAGGCCAAGGGTGGCAGAGGGCCCCAGCACAAGACTGGTCCTTAACTACTGACCTGCTGGACTGTCCACTTCCTTCAGCAAGAAAGATGCAACATTGTCTGGTTTACTTTTTGTTTTCCCTACTCCTGGTGAAGCCGACCTAACTAATAACACCCTTACTTCATGATTGGCATCAAGTTCTTTCCCATCTCTGAGCCTCAGGTTGCTTAGTTAAGTAACAAAGTTGGCTCTAAGTGGTGCCGAGAGCCAATTCAGGTTTCATGTTTGCTCTGATTGAGTGATGTATTTTAAGGTCTTCCTTCCCCAGGAAGTATACAGATCTCTTCATGACTACAATGAAACCCAGCTCTTGCTAATGGTAAGAAATTTCACAGTCTTCATGCTTCTGATATCCAACCACTCTACTAGATACCTTTTGCCAACCAGATTACTTGTAGTTCTATAAATATAGCAGGTAGGAGGCTTGGTTTTTCTTGGTGCTTCTCTTCACATTATTCTCACTTGCCTCTCTCACTGAAGAGCTCTTGACTCCAATACTACATACCATCTACTCCAAAGCCTGCCCTGCATATGGTAACCCTCTCAGACAGAAATGGTTATTTCTTCTCCATTCACCCACAAACATTTTGCAGGTATACACTTGTGGCCTTTGTAATATTGTGTTCCAGTTTTATGTGCATGTTTTTCTCCACTGTATTTTGAGCTCTTTGGTGTGGGATCTTTGGAATCCTCAAGCTAGCCCAGTGTCGGCTCAAAATAAGTGCTATTTAATTAGTGACAGACTAACTATAGGCGCACATGCAAAGAGTTGATTTTGTTGAGGTTAACAGTGTAAATCCTCATCTAGTTTAGCTGAACCTGGACCCCTGCAGAAAAACAGGCTTAGAAGGCAAAGAGGATGGCCCTCAAGCTTGGGCAGTAATTATAACCATTTTCATTATCCAAGCCAAGCAACAGGAATCAGCACTTCGAGGTCACACAGCATCTCTCTTGCACGAGGTCTCAGTCCTCTGCAAGTGTGATTCCCTTCACCTTGCTTGTGACCACCTGGCCCAAGGTCAAAGTCATTCTTTGGCAGAAACAACAGACTCAGGAGTTCTCAGTTCTCATGCCAGTGCTCTGAGTTCCAGAGCACACTGTCTCCATTCACAGTGTTCTTCTTGTCAAAGGTACACAGTGTGTACCCTAGAGAAAAATTAGGAAAGAAGCCATCTGCAAGGCCTGTTTAGAAACAGCTCCATCCTCAGTCAGACTTGATCAAGGAGAACAAATTGTAGACACTGAACATCACCTGAAGACAGGGCCATTCTCAAATGCAAGGTAAATATGTCTCCCACAAATGAGAATTCACATTGCTGTGTGGAATTTTTTTTTTTTTTTTTTTTTTTTTTTTGTAAACCAGTAATCAAACCCATTCGATTTTTAATCCCTCTTAAGCTTCTTACCTCTTCTGCTGACAAGGGATCTAATGACTTATGATTTCCAGATTCTGGGGCCATCTGAGCCTTGACCACAAAAGTCACAAAACTCATCTTAATGTACAGGCTTCCTGCTCACAAGGCAGTGCACACTGGTCTCACGTGGTCAACGTCCTGCTTAAGCTCCCCTGGATTCTTCATGGGGAAATGGCACCAGACAGGCCTTGAAAATGTGGTGTGCTGAATCCAAACACAATTTGGTAAGATACAAGGCAGCAGTGGAAAGTTTTAGGCTATGTGAGTGTAAAAAGGAAATTCACACTTCATTTTAGAAGTGCCAAAGTTCGTGTCTGAAGCTGTATGCTTCAGTAAATATCTATGCAAGGAACTAATTCTGATGTTATAAAAAGAAGCAGCAAAAATGAGAACTCCTAAGAAATTACATTATTACTTTTACTGGGCTCATATCTTAGGCCAATGAATTTTACATGTACTATCTACTCTTGAAAACAACCTTAAGAAATGAATATTATTATTTCCAGTGCCAAAATAAGATTAAATATGGAAGGCTGAGGCAGGAGGATCACGAGAGATGAAGTGATTTATTTCAAAGTTGTTCAAACTGTAATGTAGGTGAGTAAGTATTAAAAACTTAATCTTTCTCATTGTAAAGTCTATGTTTTTGCTATTCAATTGCTTCCATGGTAAAGACTTCTCAAAATCATTTTTACTTAGAAATGGAACTTTGAATTTACCACTATATTGGGTAAACATGCAAATTTGTACATTTCCTTGTCAACCAAAATAATCATATTATTGACTTAAGAGAAACCACAAGAAAAAATCCTGCTGTTCAACTCCCTCAGTCTTTTTCAAGACAGGGACATATCCTATTTCTTAAAGTGACACAGAATTTCCCTTTAAATGAAAAAAAAAAAAGTCCTAAAATATGTCTTTATAGAGGCAAAGGTTTTGTTGGTTTCTACACGGGGAGGCTTTTCCTCTGTGGAATGTGAAGAGCGAAGGCATTGCATACATTGAGTCTGAAAGTAAAAGAGACATTTCAAGGAGAATAAGAAACACAGGTAGCTCAGAACTTTTGACTACCTGGCACCTAAATTCAGATCATATAACTTCTATTAAAATTAGAAGAAAAGAACTTAGATCAATAATTAAGGGCAACAATCAAATAAGGATGAGAGACAGAAAGAATAAGTCCATAATAAAGTTTTGGAGTATGATAAACATACAATAAAATATGCTATCCAAGATGAGTCTTTCCAGTTAATAGTACTCAGGCTGGGGACATAGCTCACTGGCATAAGTGCCTGCCTAGCAAGTGCAAAGTTGTGATTTTGGTCCGCGGTACAAAGAAAAAAAAGTTAATATCACTCCAAGACCCTGAAAAAATATTAAAATTTAAGACCCAGAATACATTGAGAAATACTGTTCTTGCAGCAAGTGCTTCACCAACATTTCTCCTCTATTCTCTAGGTCTAGAAAAAGAAGTTTGGATCGGGGGAGGAGAAGAGAGACCGGAAATGTTACCTGGAATAATCTGATGCTTTGGCTATTTCACCACAGAGGTGCAAAAGACAGTGACTGTGGGAGCAAGGTAAGAAGAGGTATTCAGGTCCAGAGGAGGGATTTCTGAAGGACCACAGCATGCCGGAGGAGGGGAAACTGGGGAAACTGTCGAATCCAACAAGACAGTTTTACTCATGGTAAAATTGAGATCTGGTGACACAGTGGCCAGTTACACTGGCAAGATTTCTAAAGGATGTCTTTCAACCCACAGCTCATCCCACCACCTTCTAACAGTAATAGAAATGGTGGAGAATAAAGAACTATGGCTAGAAACACAGGGATGTGCTTAATAGTCCAGGCTCGCGGCGGACTGCTGCAGTTAATACCCTGAGGCCCTTGTAATGACAGAAGGTAGATTTCACCCACATTTCCAAGACTGGCATTCACAATAAAATTTAAAAGGAGGACAATAAACTAGTTATAGTATACTCATGGAATGTGGCGCGTTCAGGGAATACTAGACAACAAAAAGAAACAGATGGCTGATACAACAACATGGATGAATCTCAAAAGCTGTGCAATGAATGAAAGAACCATATACCACAAAATAAATATGGTATGGTATAAATATGGTTATCCAAATTTAAACAACTGTAGTGAGAGAATTTGGAAAGTATTTGCCTCTGAGGGTGCGGGTGGGACTGCACTGGTAAGAACAACAAAGGGACTTTCTGGATGATACATAGAACTGTTAAATCTTATGAAATGGAACACTCATGATCTAAGTACTATATTGCATTTAAATTATGCCTTCATTAAAATGAGACAATACAAACAAACAATATTAGAAGTGATACCGCAAGGATGTCTTGTCACATGAATATAAAATATAAACATGCAAATATAATAAAGTAATAAATAAGAATAGGAAAAGTTACTTCCATAGACTGTTGAACAAAGATAAATGTCCTACTTAGGAAATGGTTTAATGCTATATGCAAATAAATGAAAATTTTGCTTTGTTTCTTTTTAAGAAGATGGTCATCATTAGCAAGGGTATAATTTATTTCCTTGCCACTTTAAATAGCTCCTAGTCATAACAACTTTAAACAAACAGTGAAATCGATCTTTCAGTTAACTCCTTACATTGGGTAGTTGAGAGGACAGATTTGGAAGGGCAGGTGGATGTGCTGAGAGAGGCAGGCAGAGAACATGGTTTCCAAGTTTTCAGGATGGACTCTTTCCACCACACTTCATGGTCCTATGGCTTGAAAGATGGTGTAACCATCGCCCACATCCAGAGTCAACATTCGTCAACACTATAACTAAAATTCTGAGACAAAGGTAGAGATTGCAAGGCATTGTTTTTCCTAAATTGTCTTCCATGTGGTTAGGCCCAAATGCTTTGCTAAAATTGTCACTCTTATTGTTTCTCTTATTGACAGGCTGATCTCAATAATGGCTAGACTGTAACCATGAATCTGGCACCCTTCGAATTCTCTTGCCATGGCTAGGGACAGTGTGACAACCCACATAGCCAACAGCATCCCCAAGCTGGGATCAGAGAGAAGGAAAAGTCAGATCCCAAACACAGCACCACTTCCCAATTGGTCTGGATGCCTGCCACATTAGATAGGGCTACTTTCTGTGCACATGAAAGCCTGAACTTGCTCCAGAGACAGACTGGAGCCAGAAACAAGGCTGGAGGTGAGAAGACGGTTGCTAGATTTCAGAGCAAGTTGGGATCTGAGCACTGGCTCGTGCCATTTCATATCACACTCAAGTCACCTCACAGGTAGTTTCCTCATCTGTGAAAAGAGGAGAACAATGACTCATTTGAGATTCAATAGAATTAAATAAGAGAGTGGAAGCTAAAGTCTCTGTACATGCACAGGATTCACTGTCCCAAGAGATAACATTCCTCTAGCCTTGGAAATCCAATGTGGCTTCCAGTATTTTCAATATCTCGTCTTTTAGTTGTGAGACAAGGTACAGTTTCATGTTGGTAAAACACAACTTCCAACAATCCCAACTTCCTCTTGAATTCACAAATACTGGTTCATGATTATATAAGAAGCATGATAAAGATCTGAATATATCACTTTCTTGTCCCAACAAATGGAAAAAATGAAGAAGGAAATCTTGGGATCTTAAAATACATGAATGGGACTAGGAAAAGAAGATAACTAGGAAAAGCACCTTCCTCATCTCAAATCTTGGTATCTTTGAGTAGTCTAGGAAGTAAGACTAGAATAACACCATTAACTTGATGGGTATGTTTTTAGATCTTACACGTAAAGGGGCAATTTATAATGCATTGTTTGTGGATAGTACAACTAAAGATGTGTTAGGTACATGTACCAACTCCCCACAAATAATGTAATCATTATGTTCTGCAAACACTGACTAATAAATTTTTTTTTAATTATAAAAAGAAGTTAAGTAACTTTCCATGGGCTATGTAGCATGTAAGTAGTGAATCTCGCTTTTGTACTCAGGCCTATGTGACTCAATCCTATGGTCTCCACCCTTTCCTCCCACCCCCGCCTTTCTGTTTACTCAAATAAATAACCCCTTATTTATTTATGTGTTACTTCAATCTTACAATGCTTACCACATTTACTGCTAGGCCTCGAAATGTGCAAATGCTGGAGCCTTGGGGGCTCTAACTGCAGAATAAACATCAGTTATTCCACTTGACAGCATAAGGTCTGAAAATCTAACCCAGAGTAACAATACTTGCAGTGAGCTTTCAGATATTTAGATAAGACTCTATTAAGGCACCAGTAAAAATATATTTTACTGTTCACACACAAGACTATCAAACAGTTTCAGATTTTAAGGTGACGGCATGCAGCCCAAATGCCTTTCCTTACTTGAAGGCATGATCAGGTTCTATCTTTATCGGAGAATTTTAGGAAAACAAACAAACACCCTGTAGTGGTTCTCAGCAAATCTATAAGATAGAGTGTGAGAGAAACTGCTGGAAATTGTGACTGCTATTCCCTGACTTCCACTTCCAGTGTCTTAGAAGAAATTATGCTTTAAACTTTCAAATAGTGAATGAGAACCATTAGGATCAAATGGAGCTGCCTGTATCTGAAGCAAAGGGACCAAAGTCTTTTCTAGATTATTTTGATAAACAGAGGGGACCGTAAGCATCCAGAGGCTGGATAAAAAGAGTCTTTTTACATGACACTGATTATGTCCAATGATTATGACCACTATATTCTAAGGGAAAGAACATAGGCTTAGGAATTTCAAACTGTGCACATAAACCCTCATATTATTTAAAAGCAAACTTGTGTCACAAAGTTCTTTATTCTCCTGGATTCCTTCTGTATGTAAAATGTAAACCACCTGAGAAGTGTAGCAGGAATAGAGTTAAAGGACTAATGAAAAGTGGAACCTCGGTTAGAACAATATTAAATGACACTTTCAGTAACAGAATGATAATAAATTGTTTTGTAAGCTGCAAAATGCTAAACAAATGGTCGCTGTGGCAGACTGTTATTAATCTGGAGCTACTGAACCAAACAAGACTCTGAGTACATAGGAGTTACTAGCAATAGGACTTTAAATAGCTTGAATTTCCATATGTGGAATTTGCATAGGGCAATCTATGGCCCTAAGCTGTTCTTCACTTTCCCACACGAGACACACAGAGAGGCAAGGCATCTAGAGCTCCTGAACTGCCTCCAGCTAAAAGGACACAGTGCCAGCATTCCAGCCAGATCTCATAAAGCCAAGGCACAGCCTCTCCTCACTTTATTACCACCCTGCATCTCTTTCTTGACTCTTGGGCAATGATTCCTTCTTATTTCCCAACTCATCTTTGTTAAGCTTCTTTTTTCCCAAAGTAATGATCTTTAGAAAGACCTCAGAGATGGCAAGATTCTGGAAAGCAAGGCTACAGGCTTACAGTACACCAATGATGACTTCAGTTCTTACTCACTGGCCACTGAACTTGAGACAGGGGTAATTACAAGATGTATGTCTAAAGACATAAATAAAGTTAGCAGAACAAAGGGAGTTTGTCTGTGGTTATGAAAATTACTGTTCTCTCACCTTGACCAACTGCAATCCCAATTTAGCTATAAATGAAGGTCTGGGCTGTTAGTAAGTTTTGACACTAGAAAGCAAGCAAGTATCCCTGGAACCAGCTGGTTTAGGAAGAATCACAAAACAAAAATGTTACATTTTTTATGAAAAATGGAGTGCATACGCCCAATATCTTGATTAAGGACATTTCATATTCTAGTTCACTCTCTAATATTAAGGTAAATGGCGGCTTCCTCATTTGCAGAATCGTAACATTTTAGACAGGATCTCAAGAAGCCTATGAAACTTGGAGAGTTTGTGATTTTACGCCTCAGAAACAAAAAATCAGCCATATGACCCAGGAATCGAATGCCATCCATGGGAAGACTTTGAAATGCCATCCACTAGGAATCCAATGCCATCCATGGGAAGACTTTGAAATTATGACTCTGTAAGTAGAAATATTTTAATTTCTATTCATTTGGGCTGCACTGAAAGTAACAAAATATTTATATAGTATTACAAGGCAGTAAGAAATAGGTACCAATTAAATGTCTTATGAAAACAAATGGAAAAGTGCATCCAAGCATTCATTCACGCACCGAGCCCCTATTGTCTGCAAAGCATATGACAAGCCCCGCAGGGAGAGAGCATGGGTTCAAGACCTGGATGCCGCCCTTGTCAAGTTGCTCCAGCAAAAACCCACGAGGGAGAGCTCCATGCAGGACTGGAAAACTGACACAGTTGACTTGATGCATGGAACACGAGATGCTCACTGTATAAGGCAAGGGCAAATATGACAGCCTTGAGTGTGACATCAATTATTGCCACAGAAATTTGAACCCGCAGAAGGGTTACATGCTTGCCCATATCCAAACCTCCTGCCTAAACGCAATACTCTTGTATTTTATGCTTAAAGAGACAGTATCAAAGGATTTATTTATTTATTTTTTATTTAAAAGGAAAAAGAGAAAAAAACAGAACAAAACAAAACAGTGTAAGGGTACAAGTAATACAGAACTACAAAAACAAAAACAAAAACAAAAAAAAAACCAGTAAGATATCACCAGTTAATAGACTATATACTATCATCTTAGAAACGGTGATTCAGGTCACAGGATCAAAGCATACAAAGTGAACATTCAAACAGTGAGACTGCAAATAGTTGTGTTCAATGATCCAATCAAAAATATTAATATGATCATCTATTGAACACACCTAACACCTAAACACACTTGCTGTTATATCCTTTAGGGAACTTTTTTTCCCCCTCTCTGTATTACAACAAAATTTACACATTTTGGGTTTTATTGCTCCCATAGATCTTATTACTTTTTTTGGTAAGAGAATAAAATCAAACATGATAAAACAAAATCAAAATAGGGTGTGAGGAGTCAGATATACGTTCTTCACTCTTTATCCAATAGAAAATGAATATAGAACTTTCCTGGAGTTTTGGGGTTTCTAACATGACAGTTCTGGACAGACACAAACTGCAGAATTTATCTAAAATAAAAGGCAATATTATCTGGGAGGATTTGCTCTAAATTTTGGCAGACAGGTGTTCACAGAGGAGGTGATAATGCCCTTGTCAGGTTATCAAAGAAAAAGAAGCACAGGATAAGAAGGATGTGAGACAATTTATGATGGTTTCCCCTTCAGTATAATCTAGTGTGCCTTTGCAGATGAAGACTAAGGTTTGTCCTAGATTCAGAGTGGTTACTTTATTTCCTTGACACCTCTCCTGCTGGGTAAGAACAAGCAGAAACCCCCCTAATCATGTATACCTCTGCTGATACACCTTGTCTAACAGAGGTCCTTTCTCGTTGCCTCTATCAGTGGCAACTGGACCCCACTTCTTGGTAACCCCAACACACACCTTGCTCTATTTCTCACTTAGCTCACATCTTATTCTATCATAGGTTGAGGACTGAATTACTATACCTAATTCAGGGATAAATTTGCCTCCCTGTGGGTTAGATTAAGGATACAAATACTGATGCCTGTGTTTGTAACCAAATAAGAACAGGCAGTAAGGAAAATATACTGCAGTAGGTGGGTGTTAGGTTTGCCATAAAGCTTTTGGGGGACCCTCAGCAAGCACCTACCTTAGGGCTCTACTGGCTCATGTGTAAACTGAGAAGATTGAAATGAATTGTCACACTCTATGAACCACCATGTTCACTCATCCCAGAAGTATAGGGAGATCATTCCATCTGTACTTTGGGAACTGCTGACAGATTAGCACTGATTAGCTGAACTCTCTAAGTATCCCAGATGACCTGGTAAGGGATCTAGAATTGTGTAAGCTGACCAGTGAGGAAATGGAAGCTAAGTTTTATGGTTTATACATTGTGTCAACCTGAGAAGTCTAGAAGCTTAACTAAAGGATTCAGCAGCTCTTCATCCCAGGCTATAGAGGTCAAGCCCTGATCATTCTAGGATATTGTTCATCACGTCCATTTGAGAAGGTCAGAAGTTTAACTAAGTGATTCAGCAGGGGTCAGGGTCCTTAGTTTGTAACATTCTCAGCTGTGCTTGAGTAGGGCACCAGATGGTGTAACCTGCACACAACATAAGGCACTTTAGCAGGGACTGACTGCTGGTTCGCTCTGGTCTTCTCCTTCAGTTTGGATGTCACCTCCTGACTTCTGGCACAGATTGTTGGGCTCCTGCCTTCACCATAAACTCTTCAGCCTTCGTCTAGACCCTTCAGCTGTCCATCATAGATTCTTTGGTGTTCTATCGCAAACCCATTGGTATCCTCATTTGGACTTGCATGGGACACTGCAGTAAACTCCAGTCCTTGGGCTGGACCCTTCATCCTCTAGCGTGCAGATGCCCTCTGAATACTCCCTTATCCAACCTTGTGGCTAATGCTTGTAAGCCAATCTTGTAATTTCTTCTATATTTGTATACCTTGTGATATATCTGTTTCTCTAGTAAACCCTGATTGATACACTAAGAAAATTTGTTCATTTTGAAAAATCAAGGGTTGTGGAATGCCAGTTTTCAGTAAAGCCTGTGTTTGGCCCTAGGGTTATAACAATGCACAAGATAAAGTTTTCTGCATTGCAAGAGCTCCCCCCTTAGTGGGGGAAACTGAGGAACTAAATGCACAAATTAAAAATCTTCAGCAATGTGTTATAGTTGTTTGGTTAAAGAACTCTTAAAATCATAAGCAAAAAGGCACATAATTTCCTTGACGAACAAGTCTGATTGAACTACATCTGAACCACAGAAAATCTGTCAATGAAACTCCAAGGAACTAAGTTCAAGTGCAAGGAACCAAATTAGCACTGGACCTCAGATCTGGATTGGAAAACCAAAACCAAAACCAGAAAAAAAGAATCCTGAATCTTGGATAAAAACCAGGTTTGATGAAAAGTTGTGGATATGAACTGAACCACGTGAAAACACTTCTCTCTGTGTTCCTGCCAGTCGAAAATGTGTCTATGTATTGTCATACCAACAAGACAATGGGCTGTACATAAAGAAAAGTAAAAATCTAGACCAAGGTTAGGAAGTGTTTGTGTAGAACCAAATATAAAATACGTCAGAGACAGCTGCTTGGCTGTGCCAAAATTCTAAGTTTCAAATAGGTGGGGTCCATGAGGGTTTTGGTTTTAGTGATAGGACTTTGGTCTTGTTCTCCTACAGGAAAGAAAGGGTATTTTTTTTTATAATGATGGAATTCTTGTCATATAAACAGAATATGCCTGAAAATATAAGTTTAAAACATTTCTTCTGAATGAGGAGAATCACGACATGCAAATAGCCTGTGCTACAAGAATTAACAGAGCTTGTTGGACGTCTTTAATAAACACAGTAAAATCTTCATAATTTTGTGGAAGGGCACTCTTGGGGATTGACTGAATTCTTGGTGGTTCGTGGTTATAGAAAGGACTCTAAAGAAGAGCAAATTTGGCTGGACTGAGAGTGCAAAGTGGCTGGATTAGTAAGTGAAGACATTTTGCTTAGTGAAATCTTTCATCAGATAAACTGCCAAGTCTCCAGCAGCCTTCAAGAACAGAGAAACATGTTTAAACCAGTTTTGCCTGCAGACAGAGGGATGCTAATTGCTTTACCCAGATTCTCTTAAACCTTCTTGCATGCAGAAGCATAAAAATAGCCAAAATGTGTACACTGCCTCTAGGATCCAACCCTCCACCTGCAGAAAGCAATTCATGTTTCAACTCTGTCTCCTGCCACTGGTTTGCTTTGGAGCCTAATTACCAGCTACATTTGATGACAACATTACTGGCTCCAGGGGCTTCTTGTTCCTACCAAACAAAACCAAAAAACAAACTCCTAAAGCAAGACCTGGAATCTACCACTGGGAATACAGAATCAGTGATGCAATTCCAGATTGGGCCTGGTATCTTCCTTATCTTCATGTTGGCAGCTTCCCTGGAGAGCCTGTCTCCCTCAGTGTGGACCAGCTTTGACAAATATTTACTGACAAATGACTATTATTTTCATAATCGTCATCATTTGCAACCATTTGTTGATTTACAGCCAACAAACATGTTCACTGGCACTATCTCACTTGATGGCTATAACTCTGAGTCAAGTACACAGAGCAGGGCTCATTAATTTATTTAAATGGGTAAACGTCTACATTGCCGGCAAGTGGTAAAACCAAGAGTAAGGGCAAGAATCAGCACGTGTATTTCTCTCTAGGTATCTTTCCTGGTAGATGCCAATTTACAACTTATAGTGAGCCAGTAGGGACCGTCCATAGGTAAAAGAGCAAGGAGCCCCTCACAAGTCTGCTTGCAATCCAGGATGTACCCCAGGTGGCCTTGGAAGAGGGCACTGTCCTCGCTCAAGCTACCGTTGACCACTTGCAAACCTGTCTAATATGGAAGTGACTATTGTGTGAAATGGTAGCTCTCTACCACTTAAGGTGGTTGCACAGAACCTTGAAAACCACCTAAGTTCTTGGGAAACTGCAAATGACACTCTTTATTGGGTAGCAGGCTTTTCAAGATAGTATTTTTTTTAGAAAAGAATAAAAGGTATAATGTAGATGCTTTTGCTTGTTCTTTGACAATCTTTATAGTCTATAATAATAATAACACATATCTACTGTCTCACAGATTATAAGGGTCCAGCCAGGGGTTGCTTAACTGGGGTTTTTGTTCAGAATCTCACAGGCTGTAATAAGGTGTTGGCTGGGACACCTTCTCTGCAGGACTGTTTTTAAGCTCATTTAGATTGCTGGCAGAATTCATTTCCTTGTGAACACATGACTGAGGGCCCAGACTCTTTGTTGGCTAACCTTTGGTCCTAGGGTTACTCACAGTCCCTTGCTTTATGGACTTCTCCTGAAAGTCCTCCTGGAGACTGCTTCTCCTCTCCTCTCCTCCCTCTCATCTCCTTTCCCCTTCCCTCCCCTCCCATCCTCTGCTCTCCTCTATACTCCCCTCTCCTCTCTTCTCTTCTCCTCTTCTCTCCTCCCTTTCTCTACTCTCCTCTTTTCCCTTTCCCTCCTGTTTCACTTTCTTTCTTCTCTGCTCCCCTTCTGTCTCTCCTCTCCCCCTCACAGATCTAGATTCACAGATTTTGTCTTTTCCTTCCCCTCCCCCGCCCTTCCCCTCCTGTGCTCTCTCTGTATCTCTCTCTCCAGTCTGCTCAGATAGACTCATGTAACCCATGATGATTAAGTTACATCCCAATACTTCTGCTTTCTTCTACGTATTTGAAGCAAATTACTTGCCCACTTGACATTCAAGAGAGGGGATTACCCAAAGGTATAATCACCAGCAGGCAGGAATCACTGGGGGGTCCCCTAGGGCCTGTTCTCTATAATTATCAATATAGGAGACTTAAGGTCCTTCTTAACTTGTCCTTTCAATCTATTAGAGTAAACAATATACCTTTCCACTTAGTGGACACTCATCAGAATCCAGGAGGCCTAAACTTTGCACATTCTTTATGAGATTTTCTTTCATTTTTCTAAGTGTAGTAATGCATACCCAGATACTGGTTGCTTCTTGACCAATATGACCTATAGTAGTCATCTCCACGATACATAGTAAGTTACACGGAACTTGATTCTTATCATGCAGGGGGACGCTGGATTGGGAGTCAAGAGACGTGTCGTGTCCTCATTGGGTTCTCTAATGAGCTCTCTGTGTGATCATGGGCAAATCGCATCCAGAGGATTATAACTCCAAAATTATGTTGAAGAGCAACCCGTGGATACTGAGAGACCTCCGTGACCTGGGTCCCCACTCAATCTATGGAGTGTACATCTAACACTGAGGAGGATGCCGGGTGGCCAGGCTCACAGTGTTATCTCCTATGGGGTTCCCTGCATGGAGCATGTGCTCTTATTAGATAGTAGAGAGGGGGTGCCCCATGCACCCATATCAAGAGCAGAAAGATATTTTATGCTTAGTAGGGAGACTGGGGTAAGATCCAGGTGCATGAGCCTGTCTGTGGAGCTAGAGTGCTCAGGTCCTTCTCTTCCATTCTTGCCAACTCTGATGAGTTAGACTAGAACCCATTAAAATGTGGAATTCATGAGGCACCATCTCCTGATGGCTGTGTCCTTTGGGGAGCATATCAGGAGGAGGACAAGATAATCTCAGAATTTACCCACAGATTACTTTTGTGATTCAACACACAGATCTTTGCTGTTACTTAATTTTCAAAAAGTCTATCAAGAAACCTATTACTGTATAAGTCATAACACATGATCAGTTTAGGTGTGATTAAAAAAATTCCGTAAAATTTTAGTATTTCCAATTCCCAAAGGATAGTTAATTTGTGAAACAAATTAATGGCCCAGTTAAACGACATTCCAAGAAAACCACAGAATGTCAAGAGGCTCCTGGAGTATCTAATGAACTTGGTCTGTAATGCTGAGCTTCTTAAGATGTAAGACAAGCCTGCATGTCAGTTCTTGGCATCATGATTGTCATAAGTAGATGTGCTAAGGGTACTAGAAGTTGCCAAGAGACATGACTTCCTTCTCTGTTCCCCAAGTGTTTTGTAGATATGTTTTTGGGGGCTATTTATAAAAAGCAATATTTAGATGCTCGGGATTGTGTATGCTCCAGTCATCATCATATAAGTTTATTAAAGGTACCTTTATTAAAAAGGGTACCTGACTTCTATGTTCTTTAAATATACCCTTAACTGTATATGAATTTTTTCAGGGCTATTTGTTTCTATAGGGTGTGGGAAGATGATGTGGAAAGTCCACTTTTATGCTTCCCATTAGACACTCGAGTTTCACAGAACCTACTCACATCCTTCACAGGGACACGTGTGGATTTATACTTTCTCAAAAACATGCCTTTCAATCATCAAACTACTCCTGTGAGTCAGGAAAGGGAATAGTTACTTCACCGAGGTGATGACTGAGGCTTTAACACACTTTCCAGGGTCACATAGCGAGCAAACAGCACAGCTGGGGTGAGATTTCAGGTCACCCAACTGCTACTCATTGACTTTTTTCAACCTGCTGTGCTGCTTTAGATAAAAGGGACCCAGGTGCTGGCTGCCATTTCTAGCTGTGTATGCTTAGGTTTCTCATTTCATCTCTCTAGACTTCGGATTCCTCAGTACTAATACGCAGGTGGGTAAGATCAGAAGTTTGTGACTCACAGTGGGAGGGGCGGTCTGTGGCTCATAAAAGAAAATGTGTGACACTGCATCTTCAACTGGAAAGTGTTAAAGTAGAGGTGTATTATTTACTAGGAGTCTAGGGGTATGTGTAGTGGTATGGGGGGTAGGTGTCTCTCACAGGACAGAAAGGGTTAAGATTGTGTGAAGTAGGAAACTCCAGACACACCTGGATCTACAAAAATGGCTCAGGGGAAGTTTCCTAGAAAAGGCAGTGAAGTGGGTGAGTCGGAGACAAGGGCCATGGGTTTGACATTCTGCCAGATGTTGGAAGTTATGATGACTGGGGGTTTAGAATCAGGGCTAAGGAGACAGCTCTTTTTAAAAAGATGTAACACAAGAGTGACAGGAAATAAAGAAGGGTTCTAAAAACTGATATTGCTATAAGATTGCTATGCCTAAATAAGGAATATTCTATTTGTTTCTCATTCAGAATCTTCTATGAGATAAGCACTAAGGAAGCTATAGAGACATGTAACACATGGCCCTTGCTTTCAAAAGTCTATGGTCTAGTACAAGAAAGAGACAGATGAAAACATAGACACTTTAAGAAAAATTGAATACCAGAAGTACAAGCTAGATATACTATATAAATAACTGTTTAGACTGTATACAATTATGTATAAGACATTAAATACAAAACATTATTGAGCTGTTAAGTGACAAAACATAATGAGATTACTTTATCCTGTTATGGATCTTTTATTAAAGAAAACTGGGACTCAGTGGAAATATTTAGGAAAGAGGTGAGATGCAGAGTGAGAAGATGTGGGCAAAAAGCGAGGTAGGAGAATGGGAAAAGTTATGTAGATGAAGCCTTAAAAGCAAGTGGTTGGGTAGCAGATGGGAGAGATGTTTGCAGGTCAGTGAAGAGGATGATGAGAGATTTGCAGTCCACATTCCAGCGGGCCCTCCACAAGAGCACAGGGCACACTGATAGCTCTGAACTCATGTGCTGCTCCGTCATGTGGTTGAAGAAAGGAATTCCGCCCCTCCCCCTACCATTTGGCTGCAAGACTCCCAATGCCCGCCTCCTCCTCTCTGCTGCCCTTCCTCTTGTAGAAATGTCCATCAGTTCCAGCTCCCTCTTCCTTGTTTTACTTTACTTTATTTATTTATTCATTGCTGCACTGTTAATGTCTTGCCAGTCTGAACTTTAGTCAGCGCGGCTTTTATAAAATACAAAATGAACAGGACTTAACTCTCTACCCAGGTTTTCACTCTGCTGGGAAGAGTCACCATGGGATGAAAATCCTCATGTTTTCCCTCTCAAGTTGCTGTTATTTTGTCTGAACTTTTTATATTAGCAGGGAAATAAAACAAGGAGTAAAGTGTGTATAGGAAATTTTTTTAGATGTGTCTGGGCAACTGATGTGAATGTTACCAGTATTCTAGACTGATTTTAAAAAACTATGCTGGGTTCAAGGCCAGCACTAAAGTGTAAGTTTTAGCTCAATTGTTTACTATGCAACTCAGGAAAGTCATATTTGAATCTTGCTTTCCTCATTTGGAAATGAAAAGGATGTGGGGTTGGATTGCTTTAAAGTTCATACCAACCTTTCAAGTAACATCAAGTTTCTTACATAATCAATTTCTTTCCAATAGCCCTGGTGAAGGGATTTGTACACTGTAGCATTCTACATACGGTTTTAGCCATTTATTCATTCATCTATTCTGGAAGAAGCGGTCCAAAATGTATGGTGTGTGGGACACTGAGTTTGCTCAGCAAGGCAAGGGGGATGATATGACAGAATGGAATTTTGTACCTTGTAGTAGAGACAAGACATCCAACTAAACCACTTAAGTCAGAAAGTGACAGTGACAGAGAAACAAAGATGAGAGAGGGAGTCCACGGGCTTCGAACATTCATGCAGGGCAATACTTTTTAGAGGATGTAGACTTGCGAGTTGTGGCTGAAGGGAAAGACACATGTTGGTGATGACAGCAATGGAAGAGGATTCTGAGCTGAGAGACTGTGAGTAAAGACAGAGGGATGGCAAAATCTATTGCTAACAAGAGGGGAGCTGGAAGCAAATTAGGGGAAACCACACATCAGAACACAGTGGGCCTGGAGGTTGAATCTTAAGAGATCTAGACATTACTTGATAGATTATTCTGCATTGCAAACTAAGCCACATTGCTCTTCAACTATAGTCTTCTACCTATTAAAATGTCTATGCTAAGATGTACTGAGCATATAGCTCCAATAAAATCTTACAACTTTCCAGATGAGACTTCAACAAGTAACTGTGGGAAGGTGAGGGGAAAAAATTCACAATGAGGAGACCGACTGTCTCCAATGGACAAATCTATAGAAACTAGGAAACAGGGCTGGGAATACAGGTCAGAGGCAGAGTGCCTGCCTGGTAAATGCAGAGGCATGAGTTTGATGC